CCGCCAACAAGCACTGATCAGTCTCGTCGAACAGTGTCTGTACCCAAAATCTAAGGTCGCCCAGCAGCTTCAACTTCCACGTCTAGGGGAACATTCACGGCGGGTTGAAGACAAATTGTGCTGGGATTCCTTATACATTACTCTTAAGGATTGAGGCTATTGATTTTCCAACTTTTGGGCTTCTACAGATGTCCTGAAGCGCATGGTCTTGATTTAGCATCTCTGGACTGTTCAGAAACCCCGGCAGCGAAAATCCAGCCTGCAAAGCACCGGGTGTGAGGCGGGCCTTGGCGAGAGCAGGACTGGACTGAAGGGGGAAAAGGCAAAGGGGCAGTTTCAGATTAAACGGTTTGGTGTCCGGGGCTTATGTGCAGCCAGGTCTAGGCTTAGGGTATCGGGTTTAGGGGATAATCTTGAGAAGGCCTCTCGAAGAGAGTTTGTTTGCTATCCGTGGATAGCCTCACACCTTTTCGCTTACTCTTGATGCCCCCATGTAGTTGGGATCTCTGGGCCACGATGCGAGACTTCTGGCACAGAACATGTCCTTAGGGAGTAGCGGCCCGCCGATCCTGGGCTTTGCGATTCAGAATTTAGTTTGAAAGCTTGCCCGCCTAAACCGACCTAACGTAGGGGCCTAAATAAATTACAGATGCTATTTTGGGGGCTCCTTATTATTATGATTATAGTATAATGGAACCCAACACCCTATTCTAATTATTATAAGGCCCCTATATGACGCCCAACCTTAAGCCAGGAGAGAAGAAAGAAGATGCAGAGCTCCAGCTTGTTTGAGGCAGGTTTGAGGGGTTTAGGGTTTCGGGCTCAAGGTTCGGGAGTCAGGGTTGAGGTTCCCCGGGGGTTAGGCTTTGAGGGTTTGGGTGATCAAGGCTGTTACTTTCCGAAGCTTTATGTGCATGGAACAAGTAAGCCCTCAATTGAACCGTAAAGCTGATATGTTGGATGAGGCAGCTGCTGCAGCTCAGGGTGCATTGCTCAAGAAGTAGAAGGCCTCTAAGTAGCTCTAAGTTGCTGGACACTGTAGTTCATTGGGCGTGCCGCGGCTTCGCAAAAGCCGGAACAAGGTACGTCAAGTGGCTTCATGGCAAGCCCGAATCCCCAGGTCCCCAGGTCCCTAGTCGCCCACTTCAACCCAAAGCCACCTAAATCCTGCACCCTGCAATGCAAGCCTTCGGCTTGGATGCTCAGCATCTTTGGGTTTCTGTTGCACTATGGTTCTGAGCCGGGCTTCAACGTTCCCAGGCAACACCCACTCTAACCGAACGCCAGCAACCGCAGTGACCGTGATTGACAAGTGCTAAACTGGAAGGTGCAAATCCCAATACCCAGTTCACTTCAATGTCTTTGGAAGTCTGTTGTCCCGGGCGGGTTCGGATTTCCGGGCTAGAACTAAGGAATCAGAGTTCGAGTTCGCAGGTTCCTCACTCGGGTGAGGGTTGTGGGGGCTCAGCAGGCCTGATATTGTAGGAATTCTCATTTCTTTGCTTGGCAATGACTTATTGCTTTGATAAGGCGGCCCAAGGCTTGTTTTAGTGAGGGACTTCTTCGTTTTGAGAACGAAGTGTCAAATCCAGCCCCGCTCCCATGGAAAAGGCAACGCATGCAGCGCTGCGCTTCAGCTCCCGCCGGTCACGTTTCGGGCGATGTGTTTCTCCTTTTGGGATTTTAGGCCCAGGCCGGGTCTTGCTGCCGATGCCATCGGCTGCATATACTGGTGGTATCCTACAAGTAACCTCAGACTATGGGACAGTCAGTAATCCACCCGCCATGCATGTCGGTTTGTCGTTGTTGCGAAGTTTCCAAACACGGGCACTGCCTGGATGGTCTCGGCACCATGAGAGCTTTCTTGAACGCTGCTGTCCTCGCCAGCTGGTTTGGTGTAGTGGCAGCAGCAATAGTGGTAAAGCACTGGTAGCAGTCGGAGCAGTCGTTGTCGTCGTCGTCGTCGCAAGTAGCAGTCGTCGTCCTTGCCATCGTTGCCGTAATCGTAATCGTAGTCGTGTTCTTAGTCCTAGTCCTGGTCCTAGTAGTGTGCGCTGCAGTAACAACAGTAAGGTGGTAGCCGCGCAATAATTGCAGCTGCTGTAGGAGCAGGATTTAGGTGTGTGAGGGTGCAGTTGTCGGAAAGGTGGTCATTTACCCAGACAGCAGTAAAATAATAGTACATAGCCGTAGCAGGGAGCGCCGCACCACCCGTGTGATGGCGCAAGGTTTGTTCCCACTTGCAAAGGCAAGCTTGCCTGCGTTTCCTGGATTCCTGTGTCGACCTCAGTTCGGCGAGTTCGGGCTGAAGCATTGCTGAGATAGTCCTGATAAGCCCTGCACGGCCCCGCAGTTTGCAGCATTCTACTAGTTTCGTTGCCCGTGTGGCTGTGTGGCACTCCGATGCTTGGCATGGGCATTAGGGATGGGGATCAGGGCACGCGAACCCCGCGCTATGCCTCGGCCAGGAAAGGGGAGGCGCATGCAGTTGAGCCCGTGGAACAAGGTAGCGCATGCGAGTGCTTGCCTGTTGTTGGAGCGCAATAGCATGCAGTAACCAGTCGAAAGACTGCTTTGTCGAATGTTGCCGTGCCGCTGCTAGTAGCAGAACCTGTCGTAGAACAAGCAATAGCAGCAGCAGTCATTGAGAGTATCGCAGACAGAAGTAGCAGTATCCACATTGTCGTCTTCCTAATGCGGGAGTGGCAGTCGTGTCCTCAGTCGCTGTACTCGTAGTCAGGGGCAGCAGACCATAGTTGCGACGTCTCAATACCAGACCCCATAACGGGCAAGAGTCCACATCTGCTTGAGAAAGACCTCAGCAGCTGAAGTTTCACCTCCGGAGGGACGAATCAGAAAACATCCGACACAATGCACGATTGAATCTCTTACAGACTCCAGGACTCATACAAAAAGCCCAACTAGCACGTCCATGATATTAGATTTGCAAGTCAGGTCTTGCGGACTTGGAGGCTCCCGGGTTTTGGCACCGACCCGCTGCCTTAAAGACCAGAGGGCCTCGACCAACATAGAAAGCGTCGTAAGTTACTCGGTCGGCGCATGTGACATCTCTGCAACCCGGTTAGTCATTAAGCGGTGGAGCGAAAGCCGCTGTTCACGCCAGATCTGTTGCTTAAACCAGCTCTTACCAAGGCTTCCTGAATAACTCATGTCCCGTTTTCGGCGCTTTCCTCGCCAATATGCGAATAGTCTTCATGCGCACCGCTCAGTCTGGAAACCCGAAGCACAGGCACCCATCGCGAGTAAGATTCCACAAAAACGCGATACAAAAAACAGACCAGTATTCTCGAAGTCTCCCCGATCTCCAGTGAAAGCAGGTGGACGTGTCGGTGGCGGAGTCTGTCGTAGGCACCTGGACGACTGCCTGCCTGTGTTTAAGACTACGCTTTCAGGCAGGCGATTGATATGGCCTGGCAAGACGAACTAGGTCCAACATCTTGCGCTTTCAGCTCAAAAACAGCAACCACACCCGCAACCACAACCACAACAGCAGCCACAACAAACAGCAGCAACAGCAACAACAACAGACAACAAACAACAAGCAGCAACAACAAAACACACAACAGGCAACAAACAACAACCGACAACCGACAGGCAACAACCAACAACCAGCAAGTAACAACCAAGAGACAACAAGCAACAACTACAACAGCAAAAAACAACAACGACAGTGACAGCGACAGCGACAGCGAGAGCAGCAGCAACAGCAACAGCAACAGCAACAGCAACAGCAACAGCAACAGCAACAGCAACAGCAACAGCAACAGCAGCTGCAGCTGCAGCTGCAGCTGCAGCTGCAGCAACAGCAGCTGCAGCAACAGTAATGGCAACGGCAACGGCAATGGCAACAACAGCAACAGCTGCAGCAGAGCAGCAGCAGCAGCAGCAGCAGCAGCAGCAGCAGCAACAGCAGCAGCAGCAACGCAGAAGCACCAGCACCAGCACCAGCAACAGCAACAGCAACAGCAACAGCAACAGCAACAGCAACAGCAACAGCAACAGCAACAGCAACAGCAACAGCAACAACTGCAGCGTGAACGGCAACGGCAGCAAATACATCACCAACATCATCAACACCACTATTGCCGGCGCCATCACCTCCACACCAGCGGCAGCAGCAGCCAGAGCAGCCACAACAACCACAGCAACAACACCAACAACCAAACACCAACAACAACGGCCACAGCAGTGGCAACCGCGGCCGCAATGCTAGTCGCCAGATTTGTGTGGAGTTGGGGACTTTTCAACGATCCAGGTTGCCTTATTCGTCATGCAGGATCTACTCAAAGGTCTTCTATTCTGAGAGTCTTATGTGGGTGCTTGGACATGCCAGTTGTCGTGAAACTGCGGCAGTGAAAGAGCTGCGGTCTCTACTGTATCCACCTCTCTTCCATGACCCTTCGACAAGTTCAAAGCGTTACGAGGTGGATGTTGTTCACACTGATCGGCGCACTGATCATGGCCGCCAAGGGGTTTGTTTTTTCTTTGCTGTTCCAGGGGTTGGCTATTCCTCACCAGGCCGGAAGCAAATCCAAGTCCTCTCTCAAGCAAAAGCCCTCTGCCACTGAGCATGGGGCTCCGAATGCAGAGGCAGTCTTCTATCCGATCGCAGCAGTTCGGGAGATGCCGCCGAGACGTGCGAGGTCCGCCTGCTTTCACTATCAATCCTGGTCCTGTTGTGTTTTTTTGTATATGCACATCGCTAAACCATTTCCAGTAGTCGTTGTTCCAACCTGGGCATGTCTGGAACATGCTGTCAAGTGTACACAGAAAGCACCTCAGCGCATAACCTTTCGAGCGCACCCAAGAAGCCTGGCATGTGCACTGCGTGCAGTTCGCTACACAGGTTTCACCAGCACTTCTCCCTACGTAAACGACCGGAGCAGGACGGGCAACCACACCTCGGTGAGGCCTGAGTGCCGCAGCTTCGGATCGGAGTCGGCAGGTTCAGCACCCCACGCAGCCCTGCAGTATCCGTCATGTGGTCATTGCTGGTGGCCTGCAGTTTGACCCAGTTGTATGGCCAGTGCTCGGAGCCCTCCCAATGCGGCCTGGATAATCAAGCCTTCCTTCAGCTTCGTGAAGGTCCGAGTCCGGGCTCGGGCTCGGCAAAGAGTGACGTCCGGATCCCGGCCATTTGCCCATCGCCTCTGTGTCCAGATCAGATGGTGGAGGCCCACGCGTCTTCCAACCTGACGATCCTCTTTGCCTTCCGCTGCCCGGAAGAAGGGCTCAAGAAGTTGCATCAGGACCTGATGGAGATTTCGGATCCCCAGCACGAGCGCTACGGCAATTGGCTCAGCAAGCAGGAGGCAGACAGCCTTTGCGACCCGGACAAGACGGTGGTCGAGTCATGGCTCCGCGACCACAACTTGGCACCAGAGGAGTCGTGGCGCCGACACCTTCAGATCATGCTTTCCACGAGCGAGGCCGAGATGCTTTTCAAAACGAGCATCCACCGCTACCGACGCGGCAACCGGACGGTGGTGCAGGCCGAAGACTACTTCCTCCCCCGCCAGGTGAAAGAAGTCATCTCGGCCATCTACGGCCTGAACGACTTGCCCCTGCGCGAGGCAGCTTCGCCTCCTGTAGCGGAGCCAGCTCCTCAAGCTCAGGCTTCGGAGTCCCCAGGTCTCTTGCAGCAACTACAGATGCTTCTGGGCTACTTTCCTGCACAAGTGACAACAGCGCTTTATCCCTGTCTGAAGTGGTTTCCTTCTCTTGTGGGAGATGTCAGGAATAGTGACGCTGTTGGACGGCAATGGCGCGACAACAAAGTTTTCGGTGGCATTCCAAACCAACCCTCGCCCATTGCTTTCGATGTGGAGCCTCCTGTCGCTGCTTTCGTTGCCGGCCCGGACGTCATCAAGCAGATGTATCAGGTGCCTACAGGCAACGCACCGGTGCCTGGAACCAAAGCCACACAGTCCGTTTTGTCTATCGGCGACATGTACTCGATTCCGTTGGCTCGGTGGTACCAGAAGTTCTATGGTCAAGAAGCCACAGAGGTCCAGGTTTCCGGAGTCAGTTTTGATAGTACAACGTTGCCGGACTTGGGTGCCACGGAGTCGAACCTCGACATCCAGATGATGGTCGGGGTTGGGCCGAATATCCCAACCTACGTGTACGGAGTCCCAAAAGGCTCGCATCCCATCAAAGACTTCTTCGCGAAGCTGGACCAAATGACAAACCCACCACTGGTGAACTCCTTGAGTGTTTCATTACTTCCAGGTGCAGAAGGTCCAGGTAACGACCAGGTCATGGATGGAGAGATGGACTTGATGTTTCTTGCAGCGAAAGGTATTACGGTGGTTGTAGCATCAGGTGACGACGGTGCGGGGTATGGCTATTTACCTGCAGGAGGGCCGGAGAGTTTCCATGCAAACAGCAACATCACGGGCGAGTACTTTTTCACAGTTCAGGCTCCAAGCAAAGAAGATTGCAATGCCGCCTGCTCCTTCACTCATCGAGGCCCCCCGCTTTGGCAATTGACAAACAACAAATGTGGAGTCTGGTTGTTTCAGGCAACTTCTGGGGCGTGCACTATGTTCAGTATGGGCATGCCGTTTGAGGTGACGACAGGTAACGGATTTGTCGGAGGCCCAGAGATTGTCGATTGGCCGATGGCGCCAACCTGGCCGACCATGAGTCCGTGGGTGACTTCCGTGGGCTCCACGGCTCCATGGCGTAATGGCAACGTCCTGAACCAGTGGATGCCAGAAAGGGCAACCAACCTCTTCGGCAGTGGTGGGGGCTTCATGTGTCCGTATCAGGACAAAAAAACGATTCGAGGCAGTAACTGCATTTCAACGGACAGCAGTTAAGGACTACCAGAAGGGTTCCAGGAATGTGAAGCCTTCTCCAAGCGACAAATGCCAAGAAGGACAGGAATTTCCCGATGTGGCGCATTGGGCACGAACATTGCTGTGGCTACCCGGATAGCTGGGAAGTTCAGCTGTTGTAACCCAACACAGGGCACGTCAGCCGCAGCTCCCATCTTTGCCGCGATCATCTCTCAACGTCGAACGCCTCGCTCGAGGGATGAAGCCCATGGGCTTCATCAACCCATGGCTGTGCCTGAGGCTAGATATTTCAAGAATTGTGCTGTTCACGCGAGTCGTGAAGAGTCGACCGATAGTACTGTATGTCGGGGGTTACTTGAGGTGTGCGACTGGGTTTGGTATTGCCCCGAACAGATGCAGATGAAGTTACAGCAGCTAAGGTACCAGAACTCCGATGTCTTCAACGACGTCGCAGAGGGTGCTAACAACATCGGTAGAGTTTTCAACTATGGTCCACAGGACAAGTATGGCTACAGCGCGGCCGAGGGCTGGGACCCAGTCACCGGCCTGGGCACGCCAAACTACCCAAAGATGCTACAGCGCAGCTGGGCTGCATCAAGTCTCTGTGTGTGTGTGTGCCTATGTCGGGTCGATGCTTGTAGTTGGGGCGTGGTAGATTGTAGGCCTCTACTTTGGAGGCCCTCGTACTCATAGACTGCCGATGTTGGCAAGGCTCAACCCAATCCCAGAACCCACGTTGTGTAGAATTTCAGCCGGATTTGTACTCATATTCAGTTGGGGTGGTGGTCCACCAGCTTCATGGAAATCAGTTCTGTGCAGACTTGCATGGTGACTGTCGCCAAGGGAATCTTTCTGGGCCTGACAGTCAGAGCTGTTGCAGGCGGGTAGTCTAGAGCTGGAAGGGATGGGGTTGTGTGAGGCAGCGGCCATCTATTCGGGCACGGCCTGGTAAGCGGACCCGGGAACATGTCTTCGATCCTGAAAAGGTTCCAAATTAAGTATTCACGAAGTGCAGCAGCTGTTGCAAGATGCCATCCATGCTACGACGCATTCCTAGTTTGAGAGGGCGGGCTGTCCTGTAATTTCATGTAATGCTTCTAGCTTCTATAACGCTTAACGAACACATGCTTACTACGTACTGCCTTGTACATAAAATCTCGTAACATCCTTCATCGGTAGCAGGCTCTATAGCACGAATTCCAGAAGAAATCTGTCCACACCTCTGGCATACTCGCAAACTCAGCACTATGGGGTCTACTTTTCGAGATCTTTGGAGCTGTGTAGGGGTCCCTAGACAGCAGCGGTCAAAACGTTGCAACATGGAAGCTGGATGAAATATACAAATCCTTCCTCGGTCTGTCGCAATGATCACATGTTTTTGTTCCAACCTCCCTCCTAACACTTAGACCCGCACTGAGCACCAGGGAATCAACGTGCTATTTTGCTGAGGTGCGATTGGCTCGACCCCGAAGCCCACCGCGGCCTGGCCAGAATCAGGCTCCGGGTGATGCGTCAAACTAGGCGTTCAAAGGCTGAATCAGGCGTAGGGATTCTCTTCGGCCAGAGTTGCGATGTTTTTCCTATCACAAGCCATAGCTCTGCAGCAAGTCATCCAGATTGCCAGGTTTATGTGACCGCTGAGTTGTCATTACCCCACACTTTCTGCAATTGAATCCCATGATTCCAGAATTGCGTTTCAGCCCCTTGAAATTTCGTGCTGCATGGCGAAAAACTTGTCCGGACTTGCGAATATCTACGCAGAGAACATGCGCTCCTCCGAGGGCGTGAATATCGCAGTTTGCGAGCTTGTTTCAGAAACCCCATGCCTAAACCAAAGTAAGCCCATTGCCTTGCGCGGTAATATGATTGGTGATGCTTGGTTGGTGGATGCTGTACTCGAGACAAGACCCGCTTCTTTGAAGGCTTAATGGCCTTGAGCGATCGTAAGTGGTTCACGGTTTAGGGCTTCGAGTTGAGAGTCCAAGCCCAATTGCCAAGCATCCTAGGTGGTCACGACCACAACTTCTCTGCCTGATCACAAGAGGATCAGCTTGCAGACTCGCTTTGTGGTGGTCTTTCTCTTACTGCGGCTAGTAGGGACTGAGGGAAAACGGTACTACTGTATTGATGGACAAGAAACAATGGAATAGTTAACTCCTGTTTGTATGCGTGTAGTATAGGACTACTTTAAAAATATGTTTGTACACGTATACATATGTACAGATACAAGAAAATGGGCAAACAAACATGTAAATGTAGCTACTACAGAATTACTTGTTTCACATACATACATGCATGCATGCATTGCTTGCGTTTTTTTGCGGCTTAGTGGGGAAACAAGTCATACAGGTTCCAGGAAATACGTTATGAATCCAGCCACATCCCTACCGACAAGTATACATCAAGTCCGGAGGACTGGTCCTTGCGCGGGTTGGTGCAAAACAGAGCCAGCTTCGACAATGATGTGGACGCCGGAGTGTCAGGGCTGTCCAGATGCGAAGGTCCCCTATGCCACTAGGGCTGGTAGGATGCCGATGGGCCAAACTCGTCTGGATCCCAAGTTTGATGATATCATAAGAGTAGTTCCCATTTTCTGATGCAATCAGTAGTAGGGGAGAGAGCGCATGGAGAATCCACGCAGACGCGTTCAAGCTCTCGACGGCATTTAGACGTTTTAGCCAGGTCCCAATGTGGGCCGGGCCTCAGACTTCGAATGCAGCGGCAGTTTTTGAGTGTAGTTAGGCTGGCAGCGGTGCTATGGAGTGTTTAACCTCAAAGCAAGAAGGCATGAACTCTTGCATCGAGATAGCACCAGGAATGACACATCTTTAGTTTTGGCGTGCTGCCGCCGAAGCACAGATCCAAAGTCTGATCGCTACTCCAGCCCTGCATTTGCATGACGCGAGGAGGACAGTGCCTAAACTTCAAATCCACAGTCCGTTCTGTAGTGGAAGTTGAAGGGCTGCAGGGGACCCTGGCAGAACCCACTGTGGGACATTCATTACGTTGTCCCTCAAGCTCACACGGCACTTCAACTTCTTTTGCGGGGGGGGGGGGGGGGGNNGGGGGGAGCTGCGGTTGCAGAGCTTGGCCAAGTGCAAAGCGCGAATCTGCAGCAGAGACTCCGTCTGAGAAAGAGACCATGAATGCGCAGAGCCATTCTCTTCCGCGAGTTTAGGATGTTTGGCCGCTTGGCCAGGTTCCAATGTGTACCAGTCCTCGGAATTCGAATGCTGAGGGAGTTTTGAGTGCAGTAAGGCAGGCAGCAAAGTAAAATTGCTGCACCAGTCCTTCACTTGCATGACACGAGGAGCACGGGCCCAGTATTCAGGTCTTTTCTTCCGCAGCTCGTTCCATGGAGGTTGAAGAGCTGCGGGAGTATGCTTCATCTAGCTTGGCCATGCTTAGCCTCGGCCCTTAGGCTTGCATATGCTTGCATGGCCCTTCAACTTGCTTTTGCGGACTTGCGGTTTTAGAGCTTCGCCAGAAAAACAGCGCGACGCTTCGGCGGAGTGCGACTAACAGTGGATCCCCGTCCAAAAAGACACCGTGACTACGCAGAGAACTCGACTGCCTGGCAGTATGTCTTGTGACGTTTGCCCGGCACGATTGCGCCAGTGTTGAAACGTCGACGTTTCAACGCTTGGTTGTTTTGTGTCTCGGGATTCGCTGCGTATACGTTGACGTGTGCATATACACGACGTGTTCATCTGGGATCATGAACAGGCCATTATAGGTTTTCACAGCATTTCAGATGAGTTTCTCATGTGTATGGATCCTTTGGAGGCGGCCGCTGGCTTCCGAGCTTCTCAGCTCTTCTCGCGCTTCTTTGAAGCCGAGTGCCAAGCCTCGCTCTCAAGCTGCGAGATTTAGCTGCCGAGTCTTAGTAGCAACACCTCCAAAAGGTCACATGTACGAGTCGGGCTTGCCAGCAGTGGACTGTCTTTACAGATCGAAAAGTTCTTATTTAAGAAACACTGCAGAACTGCAAGCTTTCGCAATACAGCCTCTTGCACCGATTTTAGGAAGCCACCTGGCTTGATCACTGCATCTAAAGCAAAGTGTACTTCCCCTTGCTCTTCGATTTGGGAGTTTCCGAAAATTCAGGGACCCTCTTTTGGGGTCCTTATAATAAGGATCCTATTATTTGGGGTACTATATTAGGGTCCCCTATTTTCTGAAAACCCATTTGTGTTGTTCTGCATCGACCTGATGAGCACCTTTGCACACCAGCTCTGTTCTTAGTGGGTGTAGTGCACCGAATCGCCCTTGTGTTTCAGGTTTGCCAGAGGTTTGCGGGTGTTGAGACAAGACTGGGAGGGGCTGAGCAGAGAAGAAAGTCATGCCAATGATGAGAGACATTGATACACTTTCGAGTTGAAGCTTCATTGTTTGGATCTACAATTTTCAGGTCACGACGCTACGATGCTTGAATAGGGTTGGATTTCGCCCACTTGTCCGGTGGTTGCTAGAAGCCCTGCTTATGGTATCTGAAAGGTACATGAGTCTGCAAGGACTACAACGGAATTTTCTATGAGCTGTCTTTTTCACTCATAGCACAAAGGCGGTTCGAAGGCATATCCACACAGCGGCGCAGGGCTTTTGGTCTGGGGATAGGGGTGACACCTTGTTGCGGGCGATTCGTGTGGAGGCAGAGGCGGCAAATGTCTGGGACGTCCAAGAGTCTATGCAGTCGCTATAGTCCCAGACCGCCTGAAGAGGTTTGTGTGTGAGACGGGAGGGTCATGCCGGTTTTGCCGTTACAGAAGAGCTCGTGCTCGTGTGCCTCGGCTCAAGTTTTGAAGTGTACATCCATGAGGTCCATGAAGACACAGACGAATTTGCACATCGTTCACGATGACACATAAGCGCATGTTGCAGAAGGTGTGGCAAGCTTCACCATATGGCGTCAACCGAAACCAGCACTGAGGTTCAAGTTTGATATCGCCCCGGATCCGCGTTCTTCGAGCCTAGCTTCAGTACCCCGCTTCCTCGAGAGCAACCAATCCGTAACAGTCTAG